GGGGGCGAAACCCTCAATTCCTTTGCTGCTTAGATTCTCCCAATAAAAACGAAAATACCTCCTGCTGCTGGTGCTGGTGCTGGTGCTGCTGCTGCTGCTGCAGCAGGAGCAGTAGTAGTAGTAGTAGTATCAACAGATTCACCCCAGGCTGCAAGTCCTTCTCCTGCTGCTACGGGTGCTGCTGCTGCTGTTGCTGCTGCTGCTCGTGCTGCTGCTGCTGCTCCTGCAGGGGGTTCTGCTGCCTCTGCTGCAGCAGCTGGATCTGCTGCTGCTGCTGCTGCTGCTGTCTCCCCAGCAGCAGAAGGATTTCCGCTTTCTTCTGCCGCGTGTATCTGCAGCTGCTGCTGTTGCTGCTGCTGCTGCTGCTGCTGCTGCTGCAGCAGTCTGTTTCTGTGTCTGTGCTGCAGCAGCAACTCAACAAACTCGTAGCTAGACCAAACCCTCTCAAGGGCCCCCGTCGGCCTTTGTATGAAAGCAACAAGCCCGTATGTTCTCTCTCCTGCTGCTGCTGCTGCTGCTGCTGCTGCTGCTGTTGGAGCGGATGCTGCTGCTGCTGCAGCAGCAGTTGCTGCTGCAGTTGCTGTGGTTTCTGCTGCAGCAGGTGTACCTGCAGCAACCCGATCCCCACCCCTCTCACCACCGCCAGCAGCAGCAGCACCACCACCACCGCCAGCACCAGCACCAGCAGCAGCAGCAGCAGCAGCAGCAGCAGCAGCAGCAGCAGCAGGTGGTCCAATGGTCACAGCAAGAATATCTATTCTGCCGTCTCTATCCCAATCAACAGCAACAATACTATCTACTGTCTCTTTCAGGTGTACAGACACCTCATGCTTAAACTGCAGCAGCTCAGGGCTCCATGTGTACACAGATATTGTGCTGCCGCATGCATCTCCTCTTTTGCTGCTGCTGCTGCTGCTGCTGCTGCTGTTGCTGCTGCTGCTGCTGCTGCTGTTGGGGGCTCCTGCTGCAGAAAGACTCGCAACAGGCCGCTCAGGGCTCGTTGTACTACTCCGACTAC